GAGGCTGGGTCGCGCCCAGCCGTATCCCGAAGTATACCCGGCACCGGTGCGTGTGAGTTATCGGCGAGGTGCGCGGGTGCGCGCGCGAGCAGTCAGGACGTGCTGCAGTTCCGAACGGTAGAGAGACGGCGAAGACAACAGCGACAACAATCGACGAGCGAGTTGCGGGCGAGGCGGCAATATTGCGGAGCGAGTTGCGGGCGAGGCGGCAATATTGCGGAGCGAGCGAGAGGACGAGCCAGAGGACAGATAGCGGCGACAACGAAGATACCAGCGAGACGGCCAGCGAGGAGAACACATCAGTAACGTCACACTGAGGAGCGCTCTAGCCGTCAGAAAGGCTGAAGGTCAAGGTCGGTGCCGTATTTTCCTCTTATCTCTCTCTCTTGCATGTTCGGGCGTCGGTCTGTGGTTGGTAGCACAGCAGACCTGCTGGCTACCCGTTAATGGCCTATCACCGAAAAGTATTTTGTCGGGCATTATTGTAACGGTCTAATTTATAAAGGGAATCGGCAGGCTGATCAGCCGCCGATTCACCTTTCGCGTTCGGATTCATTGCTGTGCCGTTCGTAGTGTATAAGCGCGAGATCGCTGTATTGTAACTCATTGTTGACGATTAAAGTATTAGTGTTAATCCGCTGTTGTGTTTATTCGCCGCCGTATCACTCCTCATCCCGACTTCGAATCTGTGCGCTTAACGTGTTTATGCTCGACGCGTTATTCAGTCGTGGGAACGTCTTTTGCTTCCGGAATCCCCGAATAAATAATTTGTGCGGACGGCCGCGAGCAACCCAGACGGGTACGGCCGGAATTCTCCGTTACATAGAGTTTAGAAAATAAGTAAGATATTATTAGGACAAGTTTACGAAGAGTATCTAGGAATCTAATCTGTGTTGCGGAAAGAGATTTTTGGGTTAGCGGATCAAATTAGTTGCTCCCGTTATATACACACTTCCGTTCTCTAACAAGTAGGTGTATCAGAATTACGCCTGCACTACAAGAAAGGTCTCAACCGAGACGGTTCAGTAACATATATTCCAGTTCCGGAGTTCATACTGTTATCACAACTGCCATATCGTCAGCGTGGGCGACCAGTTTTATCCTCAGGAGTTGCACAAGTGTGTCGTACAGTATGTTCCAGAATACTAGTCCCAAGATAGATTTCTAGTCAACACCTATGGAATTCATCTATTTGCCATCCCGTCTGTTGTCTCGTACGTAATCTATACGAGGTCTGTCCGGAAAGTATCGGGCCTACGTTTATATCTTCGCGCCATAGTCTTCGAGCGACCTCTACCAGACAGAAACGTCAACAGTAAAGCCTCACGAATCTATTGGTTACTTACTGACACCTGCCGGACGTATAGTTCATGCGCAGCGTGTCTTTGTTTACAGTGCCTTTTTCGCGTTCGTTGGATTTTGACATTGTCAAAAATGACTAAAAAACAAGAACTACGAATTTGCATCAAATTTTGCTTTCAATTCGGAAAAACGAGTTCGGAAACTATTGAAATTATGCAAAAGGCCTTCGGAAACGAGTGTATGAGCAAAACACGAATAAAAGAGTGGTATAAACGGTTCAAGGATGGTAGCACTTCTGTCGATAGTAATTCTCATTCCGGCCGACCTTCGACGACAAAAACCGCAGATAATATTGAGCGGGTGCTAATTGCAATCGAACAAGATCGTCGTATGACTGTGTGAGAACTAGAAGAAGACCTTGGGATACCAAAAACTATCATTTCAGAAATTTTAACCGAAAAGTTAGGAATGAAACGCGTGTGTGCGAAATTCATCCCAAAATTGCTCACAGCAGAGCAGACGAACATTCGCTTAGAAATCGCTCTTGACTATCTGGAAATGGTCAATAATGATGATAATGTGCTTAGAAAAGTTAGTACAGGTGATGAATCATGGGTTTATGGTTATGATCCTGAAACAAAAGAACAATCTTCACAGTGGAAGCATTCTGAATCGCCAAGACCAAAAAAAGCACGTTAAAGTCAGAGCAATGTTAAGTCAATGTTGATTGTTTTTTTCGATTGTGAAGGTGTTGTACATCACGAATATGCACCAACAGGTCAGATAATCAATAAAGAATATTACATTCAAATGTTAAAACGTTTGCATGATGCAGTAAGAAAAAATGGCCGCACTTTTGGGAAAGTGGTGACTGGCTTCTCCATCACGATAATGCGCCAGCGCATTCATCCAATCTTGTGCAGCAGTTTTTGAGCAAATACAATATCGCATTGTTTCGACAACCTTCATACAGTCCCGACATAGCCCCTTGTGACTTTTGGCTGTTTCCAAAATTAAAAAAACCACTCAAAGGACAACACCGATTCGATGACAAAACAACGGTTGAAAACAATGCGACGAGTGTACTTAAGGCTATCTCTAAAAGTAAGTTCCAGGACTGTTTTGAAAAGTGGAAACATCGATGGAACCATGTTATTCAATAAAGTAGGGATTAATTTGAAGGATGCCACCCACCAGATGATAAAGAATAACGCTAGCACGAAAATATAAAAGTAGGTCAAATACTTTCCGGACAGACCTCGTATACGCCGAGTCGTGGCGTAAGGAGTTGATATTAGATTCGGTATCCGGAGTTTAATATTTTTTGTAAAGATGGGATTCCTGCGACCAGTGGCGGAATAGTATTTTTGATCAAGAAAACTTATCACTATTCAGAGATAAAAGACTGTAAACATGGAAGTTCTTAGACAGAATTATGTGAAATTGAAATTTCAAATTTAAAAAAAACGGGTCTCCATAATCGTTTACTATAAGTTGTCCAACACTTCACTAAACAACCTTGAGTGAGGCACAATTAATAGTAATACTAAACATTAAGTCTCGATGTATACTAGTAGGAGATTTCATTTCTCATAATCATGCCTGGAACTGATCCAAAACAGACGAGAATGAAAAAAAAGTATTAACAAACTAAGAAAATCTATCTTTTTCTTTGTAACAAGAATACCGTTATTTGTAAAAATACGGAAAACCATTGCCAAAGCCACATCGATCTCATTTTTTCAACTCTCAATATAGCGCAATTACTGAAAGTTAAGCCGACTTGAATAAAATAAACATTATCTACCATCAAACTGCTTTCCTAGCTAACCAAACAGTGAAGTCATGGCCTCACCATATAGTCTATAAGTTCCTCAAGAAAGGTAAAATATCTCTATAGCCGAGTGTAATAACATTTTACAGTATATTATGCACATTGCACATTTATTCTTATCTATCTACATTTCAAAATTAGTACTTTATTATAACTTTTTCGCACTATCATGTATACAATTACTAAATAACCTTTAATAAGTTCTAATAAAGCTTAGATCCGTAAAATATAATAATTACCTCCGAGTATAATTAGCTTTTGCTGAAAATATGTGGAATCGTACATCTTGCAGGAAGATTTAATTATTCAGAAGAGTAGGAGCAATCAGATTTTATTTTTGTCTTCAATTCTTGGCCAGATACATAATTTAATAAATTGTTAATAGAGGCAATTATTGATATATTAGCGACACCAGATTTTTCAATCCAGGAAAAGCCGAAGTGATAACTTTTAATTACCAATCAACATTCAAGAATAATTTTTCTATGAATAATTGAGAACTTTGATTGAATGACCGTAGCAATATCGTTAAAGTCTACTTCTACAAGTACATAGACTGTAGTCGTCGTCGATGAAAACGTTGACATTATACGCCTTATCGGCATACCAAGAAATCGAAGATAATTCTGTATACTCAGTCGTATAAGTAAGCTTATATGTTGTTGAATTTAAACTAAAATTCATTTTGTATTTTGAATGGTATTATACACTGATGTAATAGGCAAGTCCAAGCGATGCCAAATTTACAACGCCAAAATTTTCTGAGCCACGGGAGACTTTTTCTTATATCGCATTTTCCTTCGTAACGTTTTTCTTAATAGTTAGTCTCATCAGGTGTGTTGGTCGAATGTGTTGTTTAATATCATATCTGTATGCATATTTATTTAATATAATAAATATTCAACATATAATAATTAACTACATTAATTGCAGATCAGCTTTCCGTTGAGAGATATTGTTAAGTAATGTTTTGTTTTTTAAAAATTAACTTCACTCAGTTCGACATAAGCACTGAATGAAAGTGGGCTTTTCAATTCTTACAAGTATAAATGAGAGATAGTCTTAAAATCTACAAGTTCGATTGGAATTCTAGTGGTCCTACTTTTAGTGTCAGTCTTCGCGTTGGCGATTAACTAAATACACATTAGAAAAGCCTATGAATCGAAGTACACTTGAAAAAATAGATGATTGAGAAGAGGAGCATAGCAAATAGACCTTGCATTTAAAAAGGCATTCTTATTACTGCGTACAAATTGTATCCATCCTTTATACGCCATTTTCCAAACTGTTATTCTTGTGTTCACTGCAATAGAAATAATAATAAGAATGGCATTTGCTTCATTTCTGTATTACACATCAGTTTGCAGACTAGATACTTTGAAAACCAATTATCTATAGATCCTGTAAGAAAACAATCTTGTTAACTGGTAGCGCAAAAAATTAAATACTATAATTGCTGCAAGATATTATTCACTATATTTTTGATATCAATTAGATCTTTTTATTGTAAATGTTGAATAGGAATAATAACAATAAAAATCATTATAGTTGTTTTCCAAGTTTATGCAATAGCAATTTGTTCTGACTACATTAATGATCGATAATTTTATTGTTCAATTTAAAAATATTTTTGTACTGAAACGACTGCAGGGGTATAGGGAGACCTTACAACAGAGTTATTACGAAATCAAATTTGATAACCTAATTCTAATCATCTTTGTAATGTAACTTGTATCAATATCACAGTATAATTTCACATTTCATTTTATTTTCATTTATTCGATTCTGAGTAATGAATATTTATCTTTCGAAACAATGAATGTGAAATGATGATCCATCTTATCTCGACAATCCATTACAATTTTTAGCCTAGTCTTGGAATGAATGCCCTCCTATGAAAAGAGAAGACCTTTTCCCTTAATTTCCTAATTAGTTTCTCGTTTATATCGTCGGGTATTCTATCTGTACTATTCATTACATAACTAGAAACAGGTCTTGTCATTGTCTTACAGTAATTCAAAATATGAGAGTTTCCAAGTCCAGCATATTGGTAAATTTTAAAAAATGTATCTGTGGGGCGTTTCAACTTTACGTAAAGACCTTCACTAATTTCCAAATGTTTTCCCCAAACCTTCGAGTCTGGCCATACTATACCTAACAAATCAGACGTACTATTTGGAGTCGGATTACTGCAATATGAAATATCAATTTATATGTACTGTAGCTTTTACAAAACCATGTAATAAAATGTAAGTGGTAAAGCGTTATTGTATTAACCTATATTTAGCAAAGTTTGTCCACATACGAGTCATTCTTTGTCTTGTTATTTTTATGGTAGGTTCTTCAAGAGGAAGTTGTATGTGAGGTCTATAAAATATGTAAGACAATTCGTCTCCGTGTCCAGCTCCTTTAAATATTCATCGATTATTGGTTCATTACAGTTAGTGCCATACACATTGTATATTATTATATTATTTTTCATGAATTTTATTACCTTTCATACGTACACCTTCGGTTTTATGAGCTGAAAATTGAGGATCAAAAGTATAGCGGTAATAATAAATAGGGTAATTATTATGATCTAGCATTATCCGTTGCTTCATATCTATACCAGCGGTAAAAAATATGTCTGATGTGTCCTAAAAGAATGTTAAATAAAATTAGTAGTTATTTTTTAACTCATTAATTATACTGTTTGTCAATGTTTCTTCAATAGAAAAAGACCTTAAGCAGCTGATTTATTACGGTTTCCGATAAATTTGAAATTTCAGAAAATTTCAATTTCGCAATCTGGGTTAAAAGTGGCAAATAAATATCTAGTTTACCAATCTTCACCATTTTCAAAGCAGTATTGACCATATCTAATAGTGTTCTAAAACCTGATAAAAATGCAAATTATTAAAATTATATTATGATATTATTTCTTTTGCAACGTAACTTCACCAAAAGTTGAAGTTTCAACTGCAGTAAAGCCCATCAAATGAGGTCCTTTATTATAGTTGCCCAGTGTATATTTAATCATAGAACACTGTGTCAAGAATTTTTCTTGATGTTTGGCGACCGAATTGTCTTCAACTATCGGTCTAAAAGGCATCTAAATCGAAAATTGTAAAATAGTTTATGCAATAATATAGTATCTTCTAATGAAAAATATTATATACATTGGCATTATTGTAATATAGCCACAACGTGTTAAAATATTTATTTGACTATTTTAACAAAGTCCGAAAATTATCTCACCAATGGGATTACATTTGATGCTCTAACGATATCGTGAGCCGATGCTTTGTAAAGAACTTGAAGCAGTTCGTTTTTGTTGCTTGTAACTTCGCCAAGTTTGGTTCCAAGAATGAAAGCATTTTTCTCAGCTTCTGATGCACTTTCAATACCCCAGTAAAGGCACAGTGTTGAACCACTCATACCAATCGATTGTTTGAACAAACCTGTGAAGAAATTGAAAATTAAGAAATCAGACTTGAAATTTGTTCGAGAAATTTATAACAGCGAAGATATTTTTGACGGTACCAGAAGACATATTTGAAAGTATATGGAGATCTACGGCAACTGATCCGGCATTTTGACCGAAAATCGTTACTTGTTTTGGATCTCCTCCAAAATTAGCGATATTTTTCTGGACCCATTTGAGAGCTAAATTTTGATCTTTGAGTCCACAGTTCCCAGTAGCATTTTCATGATTCAAACTTAAGAATCCTATAAAATATATTAACATTTTTAAGCTGAGAGTATATTCTTACCTAAAACTACGACGGAGCCCTTAAATATACTACCTAAGGCATCTAGACGATAATTCATGGACACGACAATAACGTCTTCTTCAAGAAGAAAATCTGGTCCATAGTAGGAAGCGTTAGAATTACCAGTTCTGTATGCACCTCCGTGAATCCAAACCATCACTGGCTTTGCTTGTTGATGGTGGAATTGGATCTATAAAATAAATATTAAAAACTCATTATAAACTAAACATTCCATTACAGATAATAACAAAAGAACAGCGTTACTACATGAGGGGTGAAAACATTAAGATACAAGCAATCTTCCGAACCAACAACCGTCGAACTTGTGCTATTGTATTGAATACACATACTTCCTTCTGTGGTAGCATTTAAAACATCTTCCCATGACTCTGTTTCCTCAGGAGGCTGTAAATTATTTCATTTATTTAAAAATTTGTTCTTTTTTTCTTAGAAATGTACAATTTTTACATAAAAAGTTTAGATATTTATGTCTGAAGTATTGGTAATATACGCCGGATATCATGAACGTGCGTATTCTACATATCAAATACTAGTCATTGCTATCATTTACAAAGTAACGGTAATGTCAGATAACTTAACAATACGAGTACATACCTGTTTGTAAAAGGAAGTTTATTAGCTATTCTTATCGAAAGTATACATCTATGGGAGATTAGTATATAGTGTTTGCCAAAGCGATAACCGTAAAATTAAATATTTGTTTTCATTAATATTAGAGATCTTCATATACTCGGTGGGACTCCCCCGCGCCTTCTTTTTCCCGAACATAAACGCATTTTTTCAAAATAAGAAAATTGACATACGAGTAAGTTGCGATCGTCTAGAAATTATGTATGAAAACATTTTTTGCTGCAAACAATAGTGCACAGATATTGTGATTTCAATTGTGACTTGAAGGGCCAATTTTGAACACTAATGGTCGATCGTTTTACTGGTTGGAGCATTTCATCATATTACCTTATAAGAACAAAATTATCGCTTATTCATATTACGATTTCTAGGAATTTATTGTTTGCAGTGAAAAAATTATTTCAAAACAGTTTCTCGGTACCTGCAGCTTACTCTGATATATCAATTTTATCTTTTTTAAAAGGTTATTAGGAACGGAGGGTTCGAAAATATATTTATCTAACATTATTTATTTAGTTGTAGTGAAATTATTTTATTATTAATCTATTAGTAGTATTATCTATTAGTAGTAGGTGAAATGACAAAACGTCAAGTTATCATTACCTGGAATCTTAAATGATTGACAGGAGGTTTCGCATATGGAATCCCTTTAAAAGCCGCATATGTCATAGATTTGTCTATTGTACTTAAAATATCGCCTCTAACAGGGCCACTATGTGTTTGAATAATAGATGTAAATGCTGTTTTTCCCGTTGAAAATAACACAAATAACCAGCAGGATAACGCGAAAAATTTCTTAACTAACATTTCATCAACGGTTGATTAAATCTATTAAGTACGTTTAGGAAATTTTAATACTACGTACAACGAGAGAGTACTCTAAAATTGAAAAGCTTAAACTATTTAAGCAAAAGTATTATCACTGGTCTTTATTTAATATGTCAGGGAATGTGCTTTATCGTAATGAAAACCATATGTTGATAAATTTATTCATCATATCAGTATTCGTCTCTAATTAGATATCAGAGATAACGAATGTATTATATTTTTTATGAAAAACAATTTATAGAATAATTATCACGTTTGTTTAAGTCTACTATTAATATGTTGGTTACCGAATTTTAGTAAAGTTGCGCATGCAGTAAACGTCATTCAATATTAGTATATTTTTAAGGCCCTACTGTTGTAATATTCAGAATACTTGTGACCACTCTTCATATTTCACGAATAATTCAATATTATTATAAGCTTTCACTATCTACACTTTTACCTTCCAAAAATCTCGATTATAATGGATTCTGAGAAAAAATTGTAAGTAAAATAGTAAAGACCAAGAAATGGTGACTTCAAGTTTGACCTACAGGTTGATTTTCAAGGTCAAATCGGAATTAGCTTCAATTTTTTAAATGGAAACTTATATTTTTTACTGTGGATTCGTATTTTTGTTTAAAAAAAAATACGTACGTTTTGTATAAAACATTTTTTTTTAAGTTTCCTTCTCTTACTCTAATGGGCGTGATATACAGCGACACAATCAAGTCTGAATCAGACAACCTGATTAAGTAAGTCATAACTTCTGTTTATTATCATTGTGTCAAGGTGTTGAAAAACGTGTTTTTTATTTTGAAAACAAGATCCTTTGGAACTTCGAAAATTATTTTTCTGTTCAGATAGAGTATATATTATAAGTGAGATATTATTAGGACAAGTCTACGAAGTGTATCTAGGAATCTAATCTGAGTTGCGGAAAGAGATTTTTGGATTGGCGGATCAGATTACTTGCTTCCGTTCTACACGCTTACGTTCTCTAACGAGTGTGTGCATCGTTACGTCTGTATGATTACGCCTGCCGCACCACAAGAAAGGTCTCAACCGAGACGGTTCAGTAACATATATTCCAGTTCCGGTGTTCATACTGTTATCACAACTGCTATATCGTCAGAGTGGGCGACCAGTTTTACCCTCAGGAGTTTCACAAATGTCTGGTACAATATGTTCCAGAATACTAGTCCCAAGATAGATTCCTAGTCAACACCTGTGAAATTCATCTATTTGCCGTCCCGTCTGTTGTCTCGTACGTAATCTATATTTTCGTAGGTACTCCATCATCACCTATATCAAGTAAGGGGAGGGGCTGCACTGAAGGTTTGAAGAACCTCTAGAGTGTCCTCAACGGTATTGAAGGAGTTTTTGATGTCTAGTGTCGCGAGTAACACTATTGGTCTTGTTTTGTAGTAGATGCGCCTCGTACACAGGCAGTCATCGGTGACTTCTCGTATCGTCCTTATTGTCAAGAGGTCCCTTCGAAATCTGTGCTGGTTATTCATTTACTGTTATCACGTTCGTAAGTCTCAGTTTCCGTAGCGCTTCTTAAAGCTGTGTCTAGAAGGCTCAGAAGCTTGTAGGAATGCCGTACATTCGGTGCTCCTATTCCTTTATGTAGGAGAACCAGTCTCACCGTCTTCCTTCGCTTACAGAAGATATCAGCTCACAAGTTCGTGTTATATATGTCCAAGAAAAGTTCTGGCCATACACTCGCGATCTGTCGGAGAGTTTCTGCTGGTATATAGTGTAGTGCTGATACTTTGTCGCGTTTAAGCGTGGACACAGCTCAGGTAAGTTCCACTTCTGTAAACTCAGGCACTGTCGGTCACTTGTCATCCGTGATGTCGTCCATCATTAGTTGGCTTGGAAACAGTCCGTCTGCTATTGTATTTACGGAGTCTCTGTCCTTTAGCTCTGAAGGGCCTAGGAACCCTAGTTTTTTCGTCATAATCTTGTAACCTAGTCCTCAGAGGTTCGGTTCCACTTTTTCGTATAGTTGTTTTTCACATTGGTTTTTGCTATCTCTAATTAAGGTGATCAGTACCTTCCGTGCTGTCATATACGCAGTCGTTAGTCTACGTATCTGCGTCAGGGCTTCCCCTATTTTTCGCGGGATATACTCTCCTGCAGGTAATGCACTCCGTCCGGAATTCAATCTCGTCCGTCCACCAGTACATTGCCTTTTTGTTTACTCTGTCCTTGCGTCGGGTCATCGAGGCGTCGCGTAGTTGTACTACCAGTTTTATCTTCTTGTCTGTTATCCAGTTCGTTCATTTCCGCGTCCCAAATCCTGCCGGGACACTTGCGATGGCACCCGGTGCCTTAAGTAGTAGTTCTTAGAGACGTTCTTGTCTCCGTAGATTCCAGTACTTTGTGGTACTATCTCCGATCTATTCAATACGTTCATCATACAGTCGCCATCCTCTTATTCACAATGAGTTCCTGCTTGAAGTCATTGTCAAATCGGTATTGAGTACCCGTAGCCCAGTCGTCTGTATATCAGCGTCGTTCCTTGGCTTGGTTGGTCACTTACAGATCGAGCCTTGCGGCCATCTCCAGCAGCAGCCTACCGCGTTTATTCGTTGTTGTCATGCCCTACTTGATTGCCTTGGGATTAATATCGCCCTTAATGACGAGATTTCCCGAGAGTTCTCTAAGGACGACTACCTTCAGATTATCGATTTATTCTTCGAATACCACCATCGTGCAGTTTGGATTCAAATATACTTTAAGTAGGTGATGGTTTCCACTCTGCTAAAATAAGCATATTTTTTAAAATTTATTTTTTATAGGAGAGATCTCCGATAATATACTAATAAATACATATATTATATATTAAAATTACATGTTAAAAATACAATTTAAAAATTTAATTTAATTAATCACTAACAATTTTTAACAATAAATAACGATATAAATAAACAATATACATATAATATAATGAGTAAAATGCAAAAAGGATGATGTAAAGAATAATTAAATTCTGAAGCTCATAAATTCCAACATGCACTGAATCACTCCTGAAAATCTTGACATCATCCGCATAAAAGAGTTTCCTTGAATATTTGATGGCCGCAAAACAATCATTGTAATGAAGACAATAAAAAATAGTGGACCAAGATGAGAGCACCAGTGCAGTAAGACCCCGATACAGCCAAAGCATTCCAATTTACTAATTAGAAGCGAGTGGCTTACTTGATCAAATGCACTAGTTCGATCCATATAGACAATATCGATCTGTTCACCCATATCCAGAACATCAACCAGATTCTCAACAAATACAGCCAGATTTGAGACTTTAGACCGAAGAGGATAGAAACCATGTTGAACAAGGTTAATGCCACATAGTAAATAGGATGAAATACCAGCTGTCACCAGACAATCAAACAACTTAGAGAAGACACACATCTTGGCAATTGGATGATAGTTCATTACATCACTCTTATTAACCTTTATTTTTATATACAGTAATCGCATATGATTCCTTTCAGGCAACAGGACTCTGCGCAAGTTACTGATTATATAGAAAATATAAGGTTTCACCAAGTTACACAATCTTAATTTGTGTAATAAAATATGCTGGTAGATTATCAGCTGGTATATTATCAGATTATCGGCTTCAAGGATTCGCCAATGCCATTCAGGCCTCTTTCAATATCAAGCATACTACGATTCATTGAATAAATCTGCGCGAACAAATTTGCAATATGCTGAGTACCTTCCACTACCCTATTACCGAGAGCCATTGTTTTAGTAAAAGTGGTTCCACCGATATTTCTCCTCGCAAAACGCTAAAAACTACCAGGGTCAGTGCGAAGGAAATCTTCAGAGTTACTAACATAATTATAAAAGTCCGCACGCTGCAACCTCTTACATGACGAACTCAAGCTACAAAACTCGATAAAAATATCAACACTTCCACTTGATATATAAAAAGCATGTGAAGTCTTCTTCCTATGGATCACATCCCTCAAATCATGCGACATCCAGGCTGGATAACTAGATATTGTTTTCTTCATTCTCGGAGTATGTTTCCACAGGACACGATCGTGAACGTTAGAAACATTTGCACAGTGATGAGTAACCGCTCACTTTGTCAGCCTAGCTATTATTATTATTATTATTGTTGTTGTTGTTGTTGTTGTTATTATTATTATTATTATTATTACTATTATTTAGATTATATTATTATTATTTATGTTATTATTATTATTTTTATTTGTTGGTGGTAAAAAAAACGGGAAATCTGCCTAAACCAGACGGTGGCCCTCTTGTCTACCAAGGCAGTCTGACGGATTCCGGGGACACGTCAGCCTCAGCAGCGAGTAAACTGGATTGCTCCAACCCTTCCGCAGCAGGGGCTTCGGTGGCCCACGGAACCGTCTAACCCGCCATCCATCGAATAGGCCCCTCAGGGCATTCAGAAACATGCCTTCCGGATAGAAAATTCTACCTTCTGTTCAACCCTCAGCATAAGACCATTTTCGTATTACTTTTCCGCTGCGGGTTCTTTCCAAATGTCTATTCGTTTCATTGGTTTCGTTATGTCTTTCCATTTCCATTTCATTTATTCAACCATTCATACATCATACACCCTTAGTATTTCTCATACACATTATTATTATTATTATTATTCTTTCTATTATCATTATTATTAGTGGTCAATAAACAGATGAATTCTCTACGGACCATGTGACGGAGTCCTCCGGACGGTCACCTCAAGCTAGGTTGTTATAACTAATGGCCGAGACATCACTGCCGACCTGATCGCGTTTAAACCTACTTCGCCCTGTCAGTCCTAACACCGCAGTAAGACTGTCGTGATAAGGAGAAGCAATATCCCTCATTGTTCGTTCTCC